TGTCATTTGATTGAACAGAGATTAAGTGCATAGCTGTTTCTATGTTGATTGTCGCATGCCTAATCCTTGTTGTTAATTAAATATAAGTAAATCAATATTTATTTAAAAGAGCAACACACAAGTTTCTTGTTCATTCTTCTTGTAATGAATCTGCATTCCGAATGAGCGGTAGAATAAAGAATCTTGACTATTCAAAAATGCTTATATTAAGTTTATTTGAATAAAGATTATTGCTATTTCATTTTAAAAGTACATTAACACGATTACGATGATCGTTGGCCTCAAATGAAGTTTGTTTTCCCCGTGTACCGTCCATTAGGCTCAGCGGGACAGTTCAACATTAGGGGTACATCGACCTCTTCCTGTATCCAGATAATGTAACTTAACTTACTTATGTTCCTTCACATTCTGAGTAAACTGTTACTGGATGCTGATCCGTCCAAGTTAGGGATGGGGTGTATGATTTCGCTGCCATAAATGGTCATGTAACCGAGGTAGAGTTAGACTATAAAATAACAAGCTACTCGTATATATAGTTTGTTGGTCATGCAAGTAAAAGTAACGAAAAATTATTTCTTTTGACGACCTCGGTGGCCTAGTTGTTTTGCACACCGTCTTACTTCCGATGGTCGCGGGTTCGATTCCTCGTACGGTACAAATGTTTGTATGATTGTTTGTATCGGTCTGGCTGTCTTCTGCGTATAATATGTATGTATCTACGAAAAAATCGATCTATGTATATGTATCAGTTATCTAGTACTCATAACACAAGCTTTTTTTTTATACCACTTAGGTGGCAAACAAGTATACGGCCCATCTGATGGTAAACGGTTACCGTAGCCTATGGACGCCTGAAACACCAGGAGTGTCACATACTTTAGCTAGCTGAACTTGGGTCTAGATGGCGCTGTGTGAATTGTCCTGAGATTATTATTATTATTACATGTATGTGGATTATTATCTATAAAAGTGGCACCGATGTCGGAGAGGTTGAAGAGTATCGTCTATCGTGGAATGGACATTTAATGCGTAGGAATGAAGATAATATTTTAAGAAAGGTGTTACATATCAATGTGGATTGTTATAAGGGCAGAAGGCCGAAAAAGAGATGGATGGACTGTGTGAAAGATGATATGGTAAGAAAGGGAGTAAATAACGAGATAACTGCGAACAGGGATGAATGGAAGAGAAAAACATATTACGACGACCACAAATAAAAGAGATAAGGAAGAAGCAGATGATGATAGGTTATTACATAACTATATGATCTGCTTGTTAGCTATTCTAGTTACATTAAATAATTTATTTTGATCCGGAAAACGTACTAACGAATCGTTCCTGAATTACGTTACTCTAAACTTTATTCATGTAGGTCTATTTATTACAGACTCTTATGATATGTCAAATCTACCGTCAGTTCGGAATGATTTCGAGATGAGATGAACTGACAAGAAACTCAGCTCGTATTCTTTTCAAATAAATGTTGTACATGTTTACAATAATACAGATTCATATTTAAATTCAAATTTGTAAGATAAAAATGACGTCCAGTATATGCTATTGCAAAAGCAAATAGTCTAATCGGTGTAACCCGAACAGACCAGTCCCCACAAGCCAGCAATTATGTCCTGCTGAATAAACGTTTTTTGATTTTGAATTAGTAAATAATTATCAAAATCGGTTCATAATTGGCAAACATATAATGTAACTAGCTTTTGCCCGCGGATTTGCTTGCGTTAAATTATCCCCTCAGGGCTGGTATTTATCAAAATTCTATCTTAGCGGATGCCTACGTCATAGTAGCTTTATGCATGCAAAGTCTCAGCCCGATCGGTTTAAATTTGATAAAGTTTCATACAAACTTTCATCCTCTATTTTATCCTCTTAGGGGTAGAATTAATCATAATCCTTTCTTAGCGGTTTCCTACGTCGTAACATCTACCTGCATGCCAAATTTCAGCCAGATCCGTGCAGTGGTTTGGGCTGTGCGTTGATAGATCACTATGTCAATCAGTCACCTTTGAGTATATATTTAGATGATAAAAAACGATGCAGAATTGAGCCCCTTCTATTGTTACTGTCGGTTAAAACCACTGTCTCACGAGCGGTATTCGTTACATTTAGTCTTTCATAACGGGATCCCTTCCAAACCATTTGCATTCCAAGCAGTGATTACAACTCATACCGACTCAAATTTGTGAGAATAGAGTGACCACCAGCATACGCTATTGCAAAAGCAAACAGTCCAATCAGCGTTCGTGGTTAGTTAAAATTTATTCGTCTTCCCGTGTCCTTTTTGACAGGGTATTAGTTGAAAGCTAGTGAGAGTACCGACTTCGGTCGGAACAGTAAGTACCGTGTTTAACGGCTTAACCTCGTGGAAAGAAGCAAAACTTTGCAGCAAGCAAACGAGTTGTGACCTAAAAAACAACTTGAAACACAGCCGTTAATTAAATGCTCCGCCAGCCACAAACGTGAAAACTCCTGTTTACTAAGACAAAAAAGCATAAACAAAAACTGTTTGTTTAAAACTTTGCGGCGCGAGCTAACAAGACGCAGAGCTTTTAGCGAGTCTCGAACTTCATGTAGGTACTTGATACAACCGTATATACCTTCAAGACTAGAAATAGAAATAGAAATAGAAATAATCTTAATTCAAATAAACTTAATATAAGCACTTTTGAATAGTCAAGTTTTTTATTCTACCGCTTATTCGGAATGCAGATTCATTACAAGAAGAATAAGCAAGAAACTTGTGTGTTGCTCTTTTAAATAAATATTGATTTACTTATATTTAATTAACAACAAGGATTAGGCATGCGACAATCAACATAGAAACAGCTACGCACATAATCTCTGTTCAATCAGATAACATTGTCAGCGCTATAAATTTTAAGTTAGATATTTTCTACAAAAACATTATTATCATTTATAAATTCTTCAATTTTATAATAAGCTTTTTTACAAAGAAAATATTTTATGACACATTTGAATTTTTTTTCTGGCAAGTTGAGACTATAATTCTTAGTGGGGTAATCAGCCCCTACCGACTTAGTAACCGCATCACTTTAAATGCCTACATTCTGCTAAGTATATTTAAATATAACACTGAGATATACCTACTGCCGTCTCTTAGGTTAATATAGTTTATTAATAGTCACTCGTATCATAATAAGTTACTTGTTTGTCGGTCCTTCAAATAAAAATTAAGTGTAATTCAAATTCAAAATATCTTTACTCATGTTTCATACATTTTTAATAGACTCACTATCACTTCTATGATATGTCAAATCTACCGTCAGTTCGGAAATATTTCGAGATGACTAATATTTGAAACTCAGCTCGTATTCTTTTTAAATAAATGTTGTACATGTTTACAATAATACAGATTCATTTCTAAATTCTTGTAATAATTTATTGCAAAAGCAAATTTACAATTTCACTAAGTAATAAATCGAAATTATAATCATTTTCCATAGTATAAAACAAAGTCGCTGTCGCTGTCTGTCCCTATATATGCTTAAATCTTTAAAAGTACGCAACGGATTCTGAAGCGGTTTTTTAATAGATAAAGTGGATTCAAGAGAAAGGTTTATCTAGACACGCGGTAGCGTGTCAAGCCGAGTTTCAAGTAAGAGAACATGTATACCCGGCGAGCAGCACCGTGTGTATATTTACACGAACCATTTGGAGCCACTTTTACCCCTCATAACTCAAAAACGAATGAGTCTTTCATAAACCTGTCAAATTTGGTTCATATATTGAGACTTGCGAGATAAATATGTGTTCCAAATTTCATAAACATATCTCAAACGGTTATTTAGATATTAACGTCCAAATATCGTCATTTTTATCACTGATCAACTATAGATCAAAATTATAACCTACTTCCAGATGACCTAGGAATTTCAAGTTGGCATGCAGATAGGTAATTATAAAGATGAAAATCTGGTAGTTGGTAGTAGAGTCAGACCTTAGGCTACAGTATATTATCCTAAGTTATAAAAAGAAATGATATTATATATTGTTATAAATACATTTCAGGACAGACCGTTGAACTTGGCCCCAATTTAGATCTCACCTCTTTTGTCGTAGAAGTCAACAATCAAGACATATCTATATATCATTTCACATTTATGTTTTTGATCGGATATATATAACTAGCACACACATATATATATATATATATATATATATATATATATATATTAATTAAATCACTCTATCTATTAAAAAACCCGCTTCAAAATATATACGTAGATTTAAAGATTTAAGCATACATAGGGACAGACAGCGACAGCGACTTTGTTTTATACTTAGTAATGATACATGTATACCCGTGCGAAGACGGGGCGAGTAGCTAGTTAATCTAGTCGAAATAATGAAGTACTAGTACTTTCTCAATAAACTCTTAACACAACGAATGAGTAAACCGCAATTTCATAGAGCCGGCTGATTTGCATGCCAATGGGGGATGCGTGAAACAACTGCCTTGAATACTAACGAAAAAGACTTCAAAAGATCGTGCGCAAACCTTTGAACTCGCTCCAGTAATCCTTGAGGCAGCCGTGAGGGTTCCCCGCACCGTGAGGGAAAATTAGTTGTTTCGAATATAACATTGTTATGAAACCACATCGAATCGACGCTACTGGAGTTTTTTCTAGCTTATACACATTATATGAACCAGATGTTTACCCTAATTGCTATTCTGTAAGTGATGATTACAGAATAGCTCTACAGATCATCGGTCCTCCATGTCGGAGGCCTTCCCGCTTTCTTGTTAGTACAAAATAGGTATAGAACATGGTATAAAGAAAGAAAGAAAGAAAAACATTTATTGTCAACCATTTTTACATATACATTTGACAATTATACAGTTTACACATATATATATATATATACATACACATATGCACATATATACATACATACATACACACTTAGAACAATTACAATAATTTATCTTATATTATTTTAAATATGGTTTGGTATCGTTGCAGGTGTCATGGATCCGGCACCGAGACCTGCACATCCTAACCGTGGGAGGGTACACGTACACCTCGGACCAGAGGTTCCAGGCTACACACTCTCCCCAGACCGACGACTGGACGCTGCACATCAAGTGGGCCCAGCAGAGAGACGCCGGCGTCTACGAGTGCCAAGTCTCCACGCAGCCGGTGCGCTCCTTCTTCGTCACTCTGCACGTTGTCGGTGAGTACCCAAGCTACGCATGTATATTTTGATAACTTACGGATAGTATCTGGACGACCAAGTGTCGCTCGATCGTTTTTTTTTTTCAGGAAATACGTACGTAACTTTGACAAGTATTTTTTTTAAGTATAAATTAATTATTATTATTTATGTAACTAAGTTATATGATTATACCGTACTTATTTATATATATACGTGAAGCAAAAACTTTGTACCTCTTTTTACGAATATTACGCGAATAGAGGAGTATGAAATTACGCACACTTATAATTAATATATAGAAGAAACGTAGAATTCTTCAAAATTCATAATTCATTTATTCATCTAGTAGGTAATTTTAGCCGCTTATGAACGTCAAATTTTTACATTATAATTTTAATTTTGACCCTACCGTCCAGTTCAGTGTATAGATCCAATTGAGAAGAACTGGCAAGAAACTCAATTGAATAACTTTTTTTTTAAAAGCCAGTTTATTTACAATGTATATTTATATAGGTGTCTATGTCTAACATTAAATGAAAATCCCGTGCATGAACAACTATTGCCATGCACGCTCGTCATTCTTCTTCATAGCAAAAGTTTTATATACATAAACTATTTAATTAAAGCAAGTCAAACCAATCAAAAATTTATTCATGTAGGACATTTTAATCGCTTATGAACATCAAGTTTTTTTGTATTATTATTTTCCCTACCGTCCAGTTCAGTATACAGATTCAATTGAGAAGAACTGGCAAGACCGGTATCAGAGGAGCTTCCTCGCTCGTACCCTTAGATTGTGAAATGAACTTCTGAGACTACATATAGGGTTTTTAACATTAAGATATTAAGGTTTCTTGAACAACTTGGCAACGCGCACGTGATGCCCCTAGTTTTTCAGGCGTTCATAGTCTACGGTAACCATTTACCATCATTTATTCATGTAGGACAGATGGGCCGTCTGCTTGATGGCCACCATCGTAGCATAAAAAAATGAAACTGAATTGAATTGCTTCTGTAATAAAAGCTAGTATTTATTGTGTACTTATATAGATGTATATGACGAGACTGCGTTGCAATACTTGTTCATGCACTGGATTTTCATTTAATGTTAGACATAGACACCTATATAAATATACATTGTAAATAACCTACCTATGTCCTATATGAATGAATGATTATTTATTTTGATTTTGGTTACGTCTAACATTAAATGTAAATCCTGTGCGTGAACAATTGCCATGCACATTAGTTATCTAAAAAAATGTTTAAAAACATATTGCTGTCTACTGTCAGTATGACAGTGCACTAACTCACGATTATTTTATTAATTCAGCGTGACGATAAATAAATTAACACATAACATATAAGATACAAAGGCTGGAAATTTATTTCTTCTTTTGTCGAGTTCAACAAAGAATGACATTGCGTAATCCGTAATAGGTCTCCTTTATCCTCGCCTTTAACATATATAGTATACAAGTAACAGCTTCAATTATCCACGACATACATATATTACGTCCCTTGCGCGTTCCCTCACCAGCTTGTATCCGTCGAGCAAAAATTCCACTATAAATCGTAACGTGTAATTTTGGTTTGCCCTGCGGACTCGCCCTCGCATGTTTCCTGAAGTTGTACAGCTGTGTACAATCTACACCGTTATATTATTCCGAAAATAAACTATGGTTTAATTAGACAGTGAACGTTTAGCTTCATATTTAACTGTTAACTATACTTGTATCTTAACATATAAAAGAGCAACTTCCAAGTTTCTTGCTCGTTCTTTTTGTGATGAAGCAGATTTCCGAATGAGTGCTAGATTAAAAAAAATAACTGATTGCTATTCAAATGTGCTTCAATGTAAGTTTGTTTGAATAAATGATTTTCTATTCTATTCTGTTGTATCAAATGTTCCGGCTAATCTCTGAAATGACTGGACTGATTTTGACGAGTCTTTTTGGCAGGTAGCTGATCTAATATGGAGTAACTTGGACTACTTTTATTTTAGAAAATAAAGTTAAATTACACGCGGACGTAATCGCGGGGACAGCTAGTGTTATATACAATGAGTGCTACTAAACCCAATGTCATCAAAATAAGTGGAAATAGTATTGAGTGAATCCTATTAATTAAATAAGCATTAATTTGGAATTGTGGTCAGGGCAACAGCACGTCGAGCAGACGTCTGGACAGATAGGGCGTTCACACCATCACAATATGTATGTACGAGCCGATGGACCTCATCATCCACGTTGGGATAACAATATTTACGTTTAATTCAGGGTTGCCAACTATAGGGCACGTAAATGTTATATTTTGTTTATTTATTTCAGACAACTAAGCCCATATTATAAATACCTTATAGACTAACATACATATGAACTAACTAAAAATCATACCATCTATTACGTACTGCCTTTATAACAAACAAACAAATTTCATTTCTTTTCATTTCATATAATTATAAAGTTTCATTAAAATCGATTCAGTAGTTTTTGCGTTAAAGAGTAACAAACATCTATCCTTCACAAACTGTCGCTTTTGTAAATAATATTAGGAACGAGTGTGATCCCTCGTTCCTTCCGCCATTGTCATCTATGTCATCTAAACAATACTATGTACCATATTAGTTTAGAATGCCAATACACAAGATGCATGGGCACCTTTATATGAGGCAAAAAGTTTAAAAGTTGGCAACCCTGGGTCACTTCCCGCATTCGGCGATGAGAGCGCGGGGTATTCCAGCAAATGGCAACTCGAAAATGCGGTGCGGAATCGGCAGCGAGCCATTGTCACGGAACATTTTAACATATTTATTGGAGCGGATGGGCGTGCTTTGAATTAATCGGGTGCCGCGCACTCCCAACACAGCAATTTGTTGTAAATCCAGAGATAAAAGCGGACGCCGTCCGATGTGTCCGCTAGTGTTGCCAGGTCCGATGCTTTTTCCGTACATGGGGGGTAGTTAATAATGAGAATTAATAACGATGGTCGATGTGCTCCCTCAAATAAGGTTGAGTGCAATGATGGCTGGTTCATCCGTCATACTCGTAAGCCGGTGCTGCTTGTGGGGACTGGTCTGTTCGGGTTCCGAACACTGATTATACTATTTGCTTTTGCAATAGCATACGCTGGTGGTCACTCTATTCTCACAAGTTTGAATTTAAAAATGAATCTTGTAAACAAGTACAACATTTATTAGAAAAGAATACGAGCTGAGTTTCTTGTCAGTTCTTCTCATCTCGATATCATTCCGAACTGACGGTAGATTTGACATATCATAAGAGTCTGTAATAGACCTACATGAATGAAGATATTTTGAATTTTAATTTGAATAACCTCATTGTTAGCAATGTACTACATCAGGTTGACCTCCAAGCGGTTCGCCCTGGAAACCATCGTGATAAATTACTGGTGAATTTGTCATGATGTGCTAACTGACCTGACCTCATGCTCATCTTATCATCCTCCACTGGTGCCCCGCCAGCGTAAACCGTTAGCGCAGGCGGGTGCACCATTCCATTATCATCGCTAGAAAAAAAAAAGTACCTGAGTCGCAGTCCGGTCGCAGATCAGGACATTGAAAAAAAACAAGGGGATTTTACGTCTGCGTATTAAACTACCAAATTACCTTCATATTAATTACCAAAATTAATTCACATAATAACAAGTAATCACTCTTGTCCAGTCTAGTCTTCATCAGACATAGCGTCCCGATCAGGTATAAATCGGGACGCGTCCCCAGGCCCCTGAAAATCGGGACCCACGCAAATCGGGATACCTGGCAACACTCGCCGGCTATCGAATACATCATCAAAATAATTGTAATCCTCTACATAAACGGTAGGTGTGCGTATGTATGTCAGTAACAATGCGGGTAGCTCACTCTGCTTACAGCTGATAACAAAATAATAATAATATTAGAACAATTTAAACAGCGCCATCTAGTCCCAAGCTAAACATAGCTAGTGTTATGCCTATTAGACAACTGTTATAAACACTTAGATACATTTTTAACCACAATGGACAATTCACACAGAGTCAACTAGTCCTAAACTAAACAGAGCTTGTGTTATGTATACTAGACAACTGATATAAACACATATATTTTTTTATTATATATACATAATATACATACGTTATGTATACTAGACAACTGATATAAACACATATATACATTTTTAACCACTATGGACAATTCACACAGCGCCATCTAGTCCTAAACTAAGCAGAGCTTGTGTTATGGGTACTAGACAACTGATATAAATACTTAGATACATTTTTAACCACTATGGACAATTCACACAGAGTCATCTAGTCCCAAGCTAAGCAGAGCTTGTGTTATGGGTACTAGACAACTGATATAAATACATAGATACATTTTTAACCACTATGGACAATTCACACAGAGTCATCTAGTCCCAAGCTAAGCGTTATGTATACTAGACAACTGATATAAACACTTAGATACATTTTTAACCACTATGGACAATTCACACAGCGCCATCTAGTCCTAAACTAAGCAGAGCTTGTGTTATGGGTACTAGACAACTGATATAAATACTTAGATACATTTTTAACCACTATGGACAATTCACACAGAGTCATCTAGTCCTAAACTAAGCATAGCTTGTGTTATGGGTACTAGACAACTGATATAAACACTTAGATACATTTTTAACCACTATGGACAATTCACACAGAGTCATCTAGTCCCAAGCTATGCAGAGCTTGTGTTATGGGTACTAGACAACTGATATAAACACTTAGATACATTTTTAACCACAATGGATATTCACACAGCGCCATCTAGTCCCAAGCTAAGCAAAGCTTGTGTTATGGGTACTAGACAACTGATATAAACACTTAGATACATTTTTAACCACTATGGACAATTCACACAGCGCCATCTAGTCCTAAACTAAGCAGAGCTTGTGTTATGGGTACTAGACAACTGATATAAACACTTAGATACATTTTTAACCACTATGGACAATTCACACAGCGCCATCTAGTCCTAA